TAAAATAGAATAAACCAAATTTTACATAGAACATAATTTTAAGGATCTTGAAATACACAGCAAAGTACAATCCCATTAATCCTAACACCACTCCTTTCCAGTACTGACTCCAGAGAGAATTGCCTTCTCTAACGTATCAGTAGGGTTTGACTTCACTGTGCCTTCAACTCCCAGTCTTGAGAGAGTCTTCATACAACTGAGCTTACCCTCCCAATCTTTCAAATAACCCTTCCAAGAGTTTTAACCAAAAGGTTCTAGTATAGAACTTCAAAACTAATGCCCGTACACTGGGGCAATCTATTTCTTAACAGTTTGGAACTATTTCCTTTCTTTAGGGCCAACTGTTTTTCACATCCAGGTTCAGCTAAGACACCAGTAAAACAAACAAAGAAAGGCTTTCTTCAAGCTACAGTAGTTTCCCACTCATTGGCCCCTTAATAAAAATCTATTCCAAAACTTTCTACCTGAAGCCTAATGTACTATATTCTTTTATGAGGACTCAAAATTGTTCCAATGTTAACAAATTCTCACAGGTCAAATCCCAAGGTGAGAAATCACCATTGCTACAGAATTAGTGAACTTTTTCTCACAAAAAAACCCACAAGCCATTAGTTCAAAATCCAAACCAACAATAAATGATAATAAAACAATATGATCAAAATTCTCAAATCCCACAGCTCAAAAACTCTGCATCCCTCCAAATCCAGCCTCATTTGTAGCTCAACTTTCTTTTCTTGCCACTGTGCTGTCATGAGCTTGGGCCGTAAAGTCAAATTCCATAACCTAAACTCTCATCATGCAAGACACTACTTAAAAACTACCTCAGACTAAAGTCAGTTTAGTCATTTGTCCTATTGTCATTTTTTTTTGGCTCAAGTGCCATTTATTTTCTAAATTTGTTCCTGTAAGAATGTCCTTTGTAACTTACAGATATAGGTGCCTCAAGAATGCAAACGACTGTTGCAATAATTGGTGTATATATGTTTGAACAGGTCTCATGAAACCTAATAAAAATCATGTCTTTATATGGCTTCAATATTACGGTAGCGGAGGTTGAAAAGTGAGAACAAAATGCACTGTGCCTGTTACTCTACTTCAGTCTGTCTGGAGAAGAAATCATGTTTTTGTATAAATGAAATAGCTCCAAGGCAACTTTTGTTCAAAATATTTAAAATTGAGATGTCAAAGCAGCTGAACTGATTTTGTGAAGAGAGATCAGAGTTAGCGTTTCGGGTCCAAAACATTAACTTTGATTTCTCTTCATAGATGCCGCCACACCTGCTGAGCTTTTCCAGAAACTTCTGTTTTTGTTTCTGATTTACAGCATCTGCAATTCTTTCAGTTTTTATTTTGAATTGATTTTGTATTATTTTCACTTAAAAAAAAATTAAAATTATGTTCAGAATTGGTACATATTGGTGACCAAATCGCCAAAGAAGCATCATTATAAGGTTGCATGTCATCCTACAATGACCATTCTCAAAGCAGCTGGGATTAAAGATATAAATGTTGGGTTGCCTGTATGACTCTCACCTTGTGAATACATATTCAAAACACTACAGAATACCAATATAACAAAAAATGCTTTAAGCCATTACACTCTTGTAAAAATAGACAGAGAAAAGTATTATTTAAATTCACAAGTGTTTTCAGAATTTTGATAGCTTATAGCTTAAATTATTGCATAAAGCTAAATAAAGTAACTGAAGTAGACTTACCTTTAAGAATGTGCTGGAATCCTTATAAATTTCCTCATTATATTGCATTTCTGTTTCTTCTTCTTCCACCACTTCATCCTGTCAACAAAATAATTTTTTTTGTGAACATCAACATCATGTTGAAGGTTCTAGAAACAGCTTCCCCTTTCCTGCACAATTGGAAACTGGTTAGAATACAGTATTTTACTTTCATAGACTGTTTATAATAATTTGATCAAGATTCAATGCTGTCTTTGTTTTCATTTTTAAAGTAAAAGTTCTTTGGATTGGGTTAAATATCACAATTCTGACCCCAAAGGCCATTTCACATGCCACTTCATATCGATCTGGTCATGTCACTGATGAAGTGCAGACATGTGCATTCAGAGAGCACTAATGGCAAACCACAACTAGCTGAACCCAGGAAATACACTTGCCAGCTATGTTATCACAACATGAACTCACCTGAGCTTCTTGACATATGAAAGTCTTAAAGCGGATGCAGTTCAATAGTCTGGTCAGTTTTATGGTTCATTTAGACCAGCACTTTCCTAAAGTTGCTGACTCGCCACTGATGTGATCAAGTGATGCAATTTTGGCATCAAGTACAAATCTCAGTAGAAAATATCTTGCACGCTCATAAACCCCAGAAGATGTTTCACATATGCTTAATTGCTTAACTTCTATCATTAATTTGTAAAGAAGAAAATTATGCATTCATTAATAATATTTTTGAATACTCTGCTTTTAATCTTTTGTGCATTTGCTTCTTTTTAAACAACAGGTATTCATTTATTTGAATACGTACTTATGTTGTACAAGTATGAGGAACATATGGCCAACAGTCCCTAATAACTTATTTCATCAAATGCAAATACTTATTTCTGTGTTGATAGTCAGCAGACATAGAAGTGACTAACCTATTAAAGAGCAATGATTTAACAGTCTCAAATACATTTTACCTAAATTTGAAGACCAAAAAGAGAACTCGAAAACTGAAAGAAAACCTGAAAATAAATTACCTTTTCTCCTAGTAGATACTATATATTAACAACTGTTGGTTTAATTATTTTAACCCAACAATAAATTTCAATAGCTTAATTATAAGCAACATCCTTGCGAGCTGATTCAAGAATGTTCTATTTTCATGTCACAACATTGATGGGAACAGTGTGCAAGAAATCAATCTTCACCATTCCATGAGCCATCACAAACATATAAATGACCACTTAAATCACCGAGATGGCTAACCTACGTGACTTTGGCCACTATCTAAGACAAAGGAAATTCACACCAGGTTCCATAAATCATCAAGAAAACCAAACTTAGGATATACCCTCATTAAATCCAAATGAGCGCACATTCATTCACAAATTGGAAAAAAAAGACAGACAATTCTGCAGAATAATCCTGAATAGAAAACACAAGCAAAAGGGAACAAATTCTGTGGATCAAACATCTAAATCTCAAGGGTGGAATGAGGTGACTTTCTCAGTTCTTTTGAGTTTGGAGATACCACACTCTGTTGATCATGAAGATTCTCCATTTGGTAGGTGGTCAGTTCGCTCTAGACCTTTGCTCAAGTTAGAAATTCTTCTTTTTAAAGAGTCTTTGAGTACTGTTTCTTTTCCATTCAGAGTTATATGACCTTGTGTTACCAATAACTGAACACCCACTTCCCCTATCAAGCTTCTATTCTCTCACTTTACATTTCCCAAGAAAATATTTTGTTCATGCACTTAGAAGAATACAATTTATTGAATTGTTGTACAATACACATGCCACAAATGTGTGTTAGAGAACTGCCCACTTAAACAGATCAGTTGATTGGACAGATATAGAATCATATGAAATTATGAGAGGCATGGATAGTTGGAGTCTTTTTCTCAGGAATGTCAAATACTAGAGGGTGTATTTTAAGGGGAGGGGGAGAAGTTTAAAGGAGATGGGCAAGGAAAGATTTCTTTGAAAAAAACAGGAGGTGGTAGGTGTCTGGGATATGCTGCCAAGCACGGTGACAGAAGCAGACATGAAAGCAACATTTAAAAGGCATTGAGATAGACACATGAACAGGCAGGGAACAGAGGGATATGGACCACGTGTAGGCAGATGGGATTAGTTAGAATGGCATCATGGTTGACACAGACAATATGGATCGAAGGGCATGATCCTGTGCTGTTCTGCTCTATGTTCTAATGTAATGGAGACTGAGGTAATCTAGAAAGAAAGACAGAATGTACAAGTTATCATGTTGTGCTACGAAGAATATTTTGGTCATACAGAGGCTATAGAAAATATTTACTGAAATAGTGCAAGAATGACAGGCATTAGTTACAAGTCAAGAATAGAAAATGAAACTTCATTATATAAGGTCAAAAGCACAGCTGGCGTTCTACAGTAAAGTATTTTATTTATAGAACATCTACATTAAAACAAGCCAAGTCATTTCACAGGTGCATTATGCAACCCAGTGACATAGAACAATACAAGGGAATATTAGGCCAGATCACCAAAAACTTTGTCAAATTGGTGGATTAAAAAATGTCTTAAAGCCAGTGAGTGAGGGAGGGCCAAATAAGTGTCAGGAAGGAATTCTACAGCTTGGGGTCAAGGCAACTGATGGCCCATCAACAAATGGCAGAGCAATTAAAATCAGGGATGGTCAAGTAGCCAGAATTACTGTAGATTGGGGCATGGTGGAGATTATAAAGACAGGAGGGGATAAGAGCATGAAAAAAAATAAGGATTTTAAAATCAACTTTGCTTGACTGGAAGCTAAAGTAGGCCAGTGAGCACAGGGTGACAGGGGAATCAGGCTTGTAGCAAGTTAAGACATGGATAGCAAAATTCTGGATAACCTTAAGGTGGAGGAAGGTAGAATGTGGGACAGCAGCTAGGAGTGCATTGCAATAGTATAGTCTAGACGTAATAAAAGTATGAATCAAGGCTTCAGCTGAAACAGGGCAAAGTCAGGTGATATTACCCAGATGGAAACAGTCTTAGCAACGGCAGAAACATGAGGTCAAATTTGAAACTGAAGCTATGACCGGCCTAGTTTAATCTCAAGGCTAATACCAGGGAGGAGAATGGAGTTGATAACTAGGGAGTGAAGTTTGAAACAGCAAGTGTAAACTGCAGCCTTCAGTCTTCTCAAAATTCAATAGAAAATTTATGCTTATTCAGTACTAGATATCAGACAAGCAGTCTGGTAATTCAACAGTGGAGAATTTAAAAGAGATAGTGGTGCAATAGAGCTGGATATCTTCAGTATAAGATCACTGCGATAAATTTAGCAGGGGTGAAGCGACAGTTTTCCTTATCCCACTTTGCCACTGACCACTACAAAGTTTTAATTTAAAAAAGATGATAACACCAAATATCTACACGCACACATTATACTGTATACAATTCAGTACCAGAAACAAATCAGCCAGGGTCCTTAAATTTGCAAATAACTGATTTACTGCCACAATAAATTATTCAGGGAAAGATTATTAACAAAAGATTTAAGAGGTACAAATGTATTTAATTACTCTTCAAAAATAACAGATAACTTTTTCCATGCCTGGAAAAAAAAGCATAAAACTCTGCAGAGATGTTATCTTAAAAGTACTTTGTCCAAGTAACAGTGAAACTTGGAAAGACTTGGTTCACAAAATGTTAGTTTACAGCCCAAGCCACTTGACAACACAAGCTTTTGGAACTGGCTTTTCTTCCTGGATCAGTTGTGGCTGATCGAGTTCTATTTTCCTTCAGACAGTGGTATAGAATCAGTCTTCTTCTTGAGGAATCCTTCAGTTGCAGTGAGGAAGTCTTCCAGAGGGTTTTCAACAGGCAAACTTTGATTAGAAGTCTTTTGGAGAGAGAAACAGGGGGAAAAGGCTGCTGCCCATATGGCAAGTTCTCGCACACTGTATTAAAAAAAAATCAGTATTTTTACACCTATAAATTGATCTCTTCTTGAAACTGTGCAGACTTTGTGTCTACGCCAAGCAGCTTATTCTTTGAGAGATAGTAGGAACTGCCGATGCTGGAGTCTGAGATAACACAGTGTGGAGCTGGAGGAACACAGCAGCCAGGTAGCATCAGAGGAGCAGGAAAGTTGACGTTTCAGGTCAGGACTCTTCTTCAGAAAAAGAAAGGGTCGGGACCCTTTCTGAAGAAGAGTCCCGATCCGAAACGTCAGCTTTCCTGCTGTGTTCCTCCAGCTCCACAGCTTATTTTTTGCATTGCTAGTGTCCTTTGCTTATAAAGTGCTCTTTCCAAAAGATTCAAGGTACATGCCCAACTAATGACATAATAAATTAATATTTTGGATAATATCTTTATAACAATATGGAATCTAATGCTGTGCTTTTGGATGTTAATAACTGAGGAGCAGCATAGACGAGAGATAACCACGTTGACTGGGACAACACCAAGATCCTGGGACAAGCACGAGAATTCCTAGAAGCATGGCACTCCACGAAGCATGCTATTAATAAACACATTGAACTTGACCGCATATACATTCAACTACAAAGGAAACCCCGAAGTGAGGCAATCCATCTCAATGGACCCCAGAGTTTAAAAACCAGGCGGGAAAACACACCGAAGCTTCAGCGGAGGCTGCGCTGAGGATGTTACCCAGCATGATAACGAAACATCTGTGAAACAAGAAACCAGCTTGGCGAGCCAACCAACTTCAACAACCTCAACACCCACAATCCCAGCTACAAATCTACTCCAAAACCTTAATGAGAGATAACGTCAAGGAGAATCCAAAGAATTTCTACAAACATATTAAAGGCAAAAGAGTAATTAGGGAACAGGGACCTTGAAAGATCAATGAGACTGTCTATGTTTGAAGCCACAGGTAACACGCAAGATCCTAAGCAAATATTTCCCGTCAGTGTTTAGCTTGGAGTGTTTACATGGAAGCTAGGAACTCTGGGAAATAAATAGTGATGTCTTGAAAAGAGTCCTCACTACAGAAGATGTGGTGCTGGAGGTCTTAAAACCCATAAAGGGACCTGATCAAATATATTAAGGGATGATAGGGATCAAACTGTAGGGTCCATAGCAGAGGTATTTGTATCAATGACCGCCACGGGTGACATGCTGGAAGGCTGGAGGATGGCTAATAATGTGCCATTATTTAAGAAAGGCTGCAAGGAAACACCGGGAATTAAAGGTCAGTGAGCCTAATGTCAGTGGTGGGTAAGTTGTTGGAGGGGATTCTGACAGATAGGATTTACATGCTTTTGGAAAGGCAAGGACCGATTAGGGATAGTCAGCATGGCTTTGTGCGTGGGAAATCACATCTCTCAAATTTTTGAGTTTTTTGACCAAGAAGATAGATGAAGGCAGAGTGTTAGATGTTGTCTACAAGGACAGTTTGCCAAATGGATACAAAAGTGGCTTGACAGTAGGAGACAGAGGGTGGTCATAATGGGTTGTTGTTCAGACTGGAGGACTGTGACCAGCAGTGCACCACAAGGATTGGTGCTGGTCCACAGTTATTCTGTCATTTATATAAATGATTTGGACTAGAATATAGGAAGCATGGTTAGTAAGTTTGCAGATGACACCAAAATTGGTGATATAGTGGATAGTGAAGGAAGTTATCTAAGACTACAACAAGATCTTGATCAACTAGGTCAGTGGGCCAAGGAATGGCAGATGGAGTTTAATTCAGATAAACGTGAGGTGTTGCATTTTGCTAAGGCAAACCAGTGCAGGATTTACACAATTAATGGTAGGCCTCTGGGGAGTGTTGTTGAACAGAGATACCTCGAAGTTCAGATACATAGTTCCTTGAAAGTGATGTCACATGTATCTAGAGTAGTTATGGCAGCATTTGGCATGCTTGCCTTCATCAATCACAGCTTTGAATACAGGAGTCGGGAAGTCATATTACAGCTGTACAAGACATTGTTAAGGCCACAGTGAAGTACTGCGTACAATTCTTGTTGCTCTGCTATAGGAAGGATGTTATTAAATTGGAAAGGGTGCAAAAAGGTTTACAAGGATGTTACCAAGACTGGAAGATTTGAGTTAAAAGCAAAGGCTGGCTAGGTTGGGACCTTTTTTCCCTCTGGAGCGTAGGAGGCTGAGGGGTGACCATATAGAGGTTTATAAAATCATGAGGGGCATAGATAAGGTGAGTAGCCAACATCTTTTCCCCAGGGTAGGGGAGTCCAAAACTGGAGGCTATAGGTTTAGGGTAAGAGGGGAAAGATTTAAAAGGAACCTAAGGGGCAACTTTGTCACACAGATGGTGGTGCGTGTATGGAACGAGCTGCCAGAGGAAGTGGTGGAAGCTGGTACAATTACAACACTTAAAAGGCATCTGAATGGGTATACGAAAAGGGAGGGTTTAGAGAGATATAGGCCAAATGCAGGCAAATGGGACTAATTCAGTTTAGACATGGACAAGTTTCCATGTTGTACAATCCTGTGACTCTAACTAGGAGGGGATGGGGGTCAAAAATAGGTCCTTGATGGAATACTAGAAGCAATGGTAGGAGCAGGGAGAGAAGCCATTACAAATGATTTGAGGAATACAGTTAAATATATAAGGATAGGGCCAGGTGAATTCCAGTCAGCTGGACAAGAGTGGAGAGGTGTTAGGGAAAGATTGTGTATTCAAATATGTTAAAGGCCGCAGGTGATTTGACAAGAAGAAGGGAATGCTCACCTTTATCATGGTTACCTAGTTGGAAGAATTGAAATACAGAAGCTCCAGAAAAGATAAGAATTATTAGGGAGATGAAAACACATTGAAGGGCTTTGGAGATCGGACCCTACAGCAAAAGTCTGTTCGAAGCCTGCTTGATTAGCTCCTGTTTTTTATTCTCTTGTAGGACATGAGCATCGCTCGCTAGCCAGCATTTACTGCCCATCCCTAGTTGCCCACGAAAAGGTGATGATGAGCTGTCTTCTACACAAACCACCTTAAACATTTACTCTCTATACGACCAATGTACTGCAACAAGGCTCTTTCAACAGAACCTTCCAAATCTACACCCTTTTCTGCCTAGAAGCATAAGAAAAGTAGGCACATAAGCACTGCACCAGTTGCCAGTTGCCCTTCAATACCATCCCAAGTAGGAAATATATAATTAGAATCATAGAATTTTACGGTACAGAAGGAGGTTATTCGACCCATTGTGTTTATAGTGGCTCCCAAGAGCTACCCAGCTAGTCCCGTTCTTCAGCCCTATTTCTGAAGGCCTCCAAATTCATCACTTTCAAACGTACATCCAGCTGTCTTTTGAATCATCCTCTATCACTCTCCCAGACAGCACATTCCAAATCCTAACAACTGAGTAAAGAAGTTTCTCTTCATCTCATTCCTAGCTCCCTTGCTGACAGTGGTGATCCCAAGTTAGTGATACACTAACTAGTGGGAAATGAATATCGTTCTTTACCATTTCAAAATTGTTCATAATTTTTAACACCCCAAAACAGGTCACCCTTTAAACGACACTGCCCCAAAGAAAACAAGCCCAATTTCCCTAATCTTTCCTTATACCTAAAATCCCTCATCCCAGGTATCATTCTAGTATGTCTCCTTTGAACTCCCCTCAAAGTTGTACCATTGAGCCTGCACTGTCCGTCCAAGTTTCTTCTACAATATGCATTAAATCACATTTGTCTGTATCGAAATTCATCTGTCAAGTGCCTGCCCATTTGGCGAACTTCTCAATGTCGCTCTGAAGTAACTCAGTGTTATCCTCACAATTCTCCCTATCTCATATCATCTACAAGTTTAAAGATGTTGCCCTCAACACCATCTCCAATCATTTAGATGAATAAATTCCAGAATAGAACAGAATCCCTACAGTGTGGAAGCAGGTCATTCAGCCCATCAAGTCAACACCAACCCTCTGAAAAGCATCCTACCCAAGCACACCCCCCTGCCCTATTTCTGTAACACTGCATTTCCCATGGATAACCCACCTCGCCTGCACATCCCTGGACACTACAGGGCAATTTAGCATGGCCAATTCACCTAACCTGCACATCTTTGAACTGTGGGAGGAAACTCACACAGACATGGGGAGAATGTACAAACAGATAAATCAGAAAAGGCAAGGGTCCCAACACCAATCTGTGAGGAAATACCATTTTCAATTTGTCTCCAGTCTTAGTCCCTCTATACCAACCCTCTGTTTCCTATCTCTTAGCCAACTTCTAATCCATGTGCCATGTGGCATCATATCATCATCATTGCTGGATCAGAAATCCTGAACTTCCTACACCACAGACCACAGCAGCACACCGTCTCAAGTTATGAGCAACAGATACTGGAATAGCCAGAAAAAACTCAACTCCCAGGAACAAATAGTTTTAAAAACAACACATTCCGGTTAGGTTAACAGATTGCAAACAAATGCAACTCTCAAAACACAAATAGTAAATTAGATTCCTATCACAGTTCTAGCAGAATTGTAAATTTGCAGTGGAAGTCTTTATTCAGATAAACATTTAGTGATGGGTTTCAGATGCTAAATTATAAATTATGTTTTGTTAGAAATATTTTATAGCTTATATTCAATGTTTCCCTAATATGGAAGGGGCCAGATAAAATAAATTGAATAGTCTGTGTGTCCATTTTAGCCAGGAGGATGGAAATGAAAACAAGATATTGCAGTGCTATATTTACTTTGTATTCTTCGAATTCTTCTTCACTAGCTTCCCCGTCTTCTTGAAATTTACGCTTGGCGGTTGGTGCAGATGTGTCATACGTTGCCCTAGAAGCATCAAACAGAACACGCTGTTGTTTAAAAAGATATCAGTTGAAATAAATTATAAATGTAAGAATATTCCACTTACATGCACATGCAGAATATACTACAGAGATAGTAAACAGTACAAGTGACCCAAATAGCTCTGCTAAGACTCTAAATTTTGCAACTGAATCACCTTTCTTATCCCTCCCTTACAAATTAATTTACACAAGTGAGCTACACTATCAAATATTTATCGCATTCTGTAAGTTAAAACATGAAGAATAAAATAATCGTGCTACAACAAATTATGGAGTTTAAACTATTGGGGACAAATGGAGCTTTAATATGGGATGAAAAGCATTAATTCACATACAAAATACAATTAATGAATAGGGCGGGGACAGAGGATACTTAACAATGCTCCATTTAAATTAAATTTAATAAATGCTATGATTTTCAGAACACTGTCACAATCCAAAAATGCACTTGCAATTTGTTCAACCAAAAGCTTAATCTTAAATTGACTATGGATTTTTAAACAGATAATCCCACCACAGGAGGAGTTTCCCAATATTAAAGCTGCAGTCTCCATCATTCCATTGGAGAAATAAATTTTTCTAGAAGTACTCACCAAAAGAGTCTGCTCCTTTAAAAAAAGGAAACAAATATGTATCATAATCTAATATTGTTGTGTTTTGACTAAATTGGACTTCTCACTAAAAAGTGCAACTTTCAACTAGAAGATTCATAAACAAATATCTGCACACAAAGTCGCCCCATCTGTTGGTGCATATTCTTGATGCACAATGACTGTAACATAGGGAAATAGGAAAGAAAGCTTAATCCCAAATCTTTTAAGTGATCAAGCATTTTTCTTTTTACACAAAAAGCTGATGGTGACAGAACTGTACTGAATTGTATAAAACACATTCAATTTGATAACTTGCTGCAAACATTTAGTCTGTTAACTGCAGTTCCTAAAAAAACTGCTTTGTTCCATAGGTAAATAGGAAATGCTCAATGTCAAATGTTAGGCATTTTTAAATGTAGCAGAAGAAATAGCATTTAGTCCTCCAAATACTACTACAAAAAAGATGCATCATGCTCAGGAAAAATGATCCTCTCCTCCCTGACCTGAATTTTTTTTCATCCATGGTGTTAACTGGAGTGCTTTTCTTTGGTAAATACGAAATTGACCAAATTTAATAAAAATTATTGCGGGAATGCTATTTTAGTTCAACTGCAAAGGGACATAAATAATTGCACCATGTCAGATAAAGCGGCAAGTATAACTTGGAGCATGGAGGTAACGTGTATCATTAGAAAACAAAATATTTTGATTTTATTTTAAACACAGTCACCAATCACTAATAGATCATAGCAGACAGCATCTCAACCCCGACCTCAGCAAAGCTACCAGCAATATACCTATCTCACATTTTCTATACTTTACTCTGTCTCAAAACACAACTGTAGCTAAATTATGAGATTGTCATGGTTTTATACCATTACAGACAATTTCAAACTTAACTTGCATAAAACCCATATAAACAGCATAACACCTATCATTCTAGACTAGATACAGACACATTTAACTTCATTCCTTTGGGATTAATTATAATCCAGCGTGATTTCCAGCCTCTTTATAAAACACTTTTAAACCAAGGGTAACCGCACAAATAGTGGAGTCCTGATTTATACGATTAAGAACAAAAGAGAGAAAAACAATTATTCTTGCTTAAATGTCATTCATTATTTATTTAATTGCTGCTCCTTGCGTTAGTTCAGTCATTCACACTAGCAGCATTCCAACCCCAACTAATGACTTTTGCTTACTGGTGCACTTAGACTGCACCCCATGTAGCATGTCATCATGCTATCCAAGTGTAACATGCACCGCAGATGCAGGCAAATCCAAACTTTAATTTCACCGCATTTATTTTCCACATAATCTTACGGTCAAGAATTAGCAAATAGTGACAAAAAGCAGAATTCTGCACTAAGGCTATTCACCTTCTTTGGACAAATAGCAGTCCCGATGCTTCCCCTCGTCTATCTGCAAGCATAAACTTCTGAATCAAGTCTGACAACGTAAATGATACTAACAAAGTTTGCTTACAACCTTACTGAAAATAATAAACATTTAAAACTGTAATAAACAGCACAAAAAAAGCAAGAATAACAAAAGCACATCCTGGTTTGAATAAGTTATACTGGACTGGCAATGTTAACTCTGTTTCTCTCTCCACAAATGCTGTCAGACTCGACTTTCCCCAGCACTTTTGTTTTGAAGGTCCCAGAGAGCAATGTTATTTTGTTACATAAAAGTTGCATGTGAGTAGGTTTCATCAACATCCAATGTTAAAAAATACTGGGTATGCCAAACATCTAACATCAGCTGTGTTATCCAAAGATTTATATTCACTTTGAATATTGGCGCAATAGTCATTATAGACCATTTTTGCCCTAAATTGAGAGGTTTACTACAGGTTGATCAACAATTTACATTTATATCAATACACTTCAAATAGACCGCCATCAAAAAAAAGTTCAGACATCCTACAGTATTGCATTGTAATAGATTATCTGCTACTTAATTGAAAATAAATTAATAATGAGAACCCACAAGATTTGCCACTTAATGTGGAGACATAAATACCTCTAGCAGCAACTACACAATGACGTCAACTCTCTACCCAGAAAATATATTTACAATAATACACAAGAATTGGAGTTATAAATTCTTGTGACTTCAAATGACTTTTGACAAATCTGCACTAATGTATTAAGCTGCCAGTATATATTTAGTTCAAATAACTTAGATTAGACTCAGTGCTATTATTTCATAGCTACTAAAATAGTCATTAAATAGCTACTAAATCTAACATCAAGTCAAATGGCAACTAAAATTTGAGGGTGGAGTGAGAAGTAAGTGCAATTTAATTAATATAGATAAATTAGATTTTATCCCTCCAGAAGTAGATTATTTGGTCATGATTAATCAAAAAGGCAACATTAGTCAAAAATTATTTTAGCACTGTCAGGAATTGCTATTATTGCTCTTATGAACTCTTGTTGCTTCAGTCCAGCTTATCCCCATCAGCTCTTTACGTCAAACAGCGCTTACCAGCTTCATGATAAATGTAATTTTGATCTATACCTTTTCTTCACTCTGTTCAATCTCTATGTATCTAAAAACAGATAGTTTGCAGTTATAAAAGTACTCACTATACTAGTTCAAATGAGTATAAAGTTTGAAACTTTTGTGATAATTTAAGAACAAAATACTGACTATCAAGTCAGTTTAGCAATTGGTCTGACTACACAAAGAAAATAGGTAACACTTTTCAGGCCAACTCCATTAGATGTTGGAGAGGAACAAGATTCATCAATCACTTACTGAGGAAATAATATTTTAACAAATTCTGTCAGTATATCAAGGGATAAATTTCCATCCAATAATGCAAGTCTTTTCACCACCCCCTTCACAATTAAAAACTGCTACCGGGGGACTCGGGCCCAATCCAGTCCCTAAAATGACTGTTCAAAAACCTTTAAGGGCACCAGCAATATTGGGCTGGGCCAGTATCAACTCAGTGTCTTGTGAAGGAGAGTCAACAGTACAAAACTGCTCATAATTTAATTGCACATTGTTAACCTAATGAATGTTAGTTTCACCATATTATTAAATGGTAAAAACAAGATGCATTAATTAATATTGACATTTGCATTAAGTGCTTGCATATGTACAGTGGCGTTTGTAATTGTAATAGAAAACAAAGTAGTCGATACATATCGACATAATATAAATTTACAACCCAATGGATTGGGATTTTCTGTGCTATGTGTAGAGTGGCTCAGTGTATCATTGTATAACATTAGAATGGAGAATGTTGCATCAACTCCAACTGTTATACTGGTGCCAACATACTGTTGTTCAAAATTAGATTGCCATCCAAATAGGAATGAATAGAATCTCTGCAGTCAAAACAGAATGCAACTCAGAAAATCTACACCATGTGATTTATTTTATTTTGCACCAGCATAGCTACAAATTCACTCAAAACAATATTAGGACAGGGATCCCAGAGGCCACAAGTTTCGTGATTGGAAAATAAATATCAACCTTGTACATTAGCGATATTTTTGAGGTACAATAGAGGAAGTCCCAATTATCAAAAGAGGAAGATAAAATTCAAATATTTAAAAGAAAGGCACAACCTTCAGTTTTATACAACTAAATATTTTATATTTGTCAGTCGTAGGAAAATAAGTACTAAATTACAGAGATGAAATTGGTCAATTTCTTTACGTTTCTTTACTTAAAAGTGTTTACAATTACAGAAACAGTGGAACAAATTGACTTGATAAGTTTAGTTTATTACAAGATTAGTTTTAAAAATATATGCCTTCCGTGGCAAGAAAAAGGACTCCATTAAAGACGTGGCTTTGATTTTCTATCTCTGCAGACCATAAAATATCAAAATACACTTCGGTTCCAAAAGAACAGAGACAGATACCATAACTTTCAGCATTTCATAAAAGAGCATCATCATTGTTACAGCTTTTCTCTCATACACCTAGTTCTTGGAATCAGCTGTATCACAAATGCCAGAAAATGCTTTGAATTTTTACTTCATTCCACAGGTTAGAACCTGTAATTCTTACACAAAGATGAATATTCAAAACTGTAACAAGCTTTGCTGTAACTGTTGCTTTGTTCAGCTGACATTGCATCCTTAAAAATCAATAAATAATCAATTTGCCTCAAGCTTAGATTGCTTTAAATATTATTGTCTAACTTTTTCTGGAAGTAAAGTTTATTTATATGGAGCAGATCCTGTACTTCATACACTTGCATGGATTAGAGAACATTTGGAGCACGAATAGAAATAATTAAAATATGAAACATTATTGTTATAATAAAATTATATAACTAAACACAAGAACATTTTGCAAAAAAAACCTTGAAATTGATAATACAAGCTTTTTAAAAAAAAAATCAACTTGGAAATGTACTTTTTAAAGAGCACTTTTAAACTACACATCTGGGACCAGTAATGCTGGACTGAGATATGCAGCCAGCCACAAGAATTATATAGTTAACTGTGCCTCAGTGCCTTTGTTCTTAAAATGGCAGAGAGAAGATAGGAGAATTACTTTATTCTTCCAAAAACTGAAGATATTTAATTGATTAGAAAAAAGCTCCCGACAATTCCAATGGATCAGCTGAGTATGTGTAAAACAATGCTGTGCAAACTAGAGTTAAGAAACGTATAGTAAAGCCCAGCTAACTGGAGTTAGAAAGCCAGTCTGTGCCAGTGTGTACACAAAAACACTTTGCCTAGACTTAAAACTGACAGCTTAAGCAACACAAAATAATTATTTCAGAATACATCATCTTGGTTTCTGAAAGTTGGCAGAACAAGATTAATTCAATTACTTAATTATAACAAATATTCTAGATAAGAATAAGATAACATCGGATGCAGATTAAACCTGCAAGTCTTCACTTATATAATTAGTGATCTTAGCTGGAGACTCTCTCAAAGAAGGAAAGAAATGCAGCAAATGTGCAAGAGGGGCAAAACAAAGGGAATGCTACTTTGATTTTGCTGTTTGTCTCCCATGGCTAAAACAACTGAAAGGAACACCAGCTGAAGGGTAAAGGAATATCATCAAAAACAATTAAAAACACTTACATATCCCCTCTTAAAAATTGATACGGTATTTATCCAAGATGGTACAAGATAACACATTCAGTTGCTTTCTGGAATTAGTTTTTGAATATTCCATTGCAAAAAGCTTTTGCATTCAGATGAGGAAGAGGGAGTTTATGGCTTCACAGTATCTACAAAGTGTTTAACAAACTATCACAATCTCCTATTTTACCTTATTTGATGCAAAATAAAAAGGTTCAAACAACAGTTGTCTCCAAACTAACCTGCAAGTTTCCCTGGTTTCAGCAATCTCCCTCTGTTCTTCCTTACTGTTCAGGACCGCTCCAATATTGTCTGCGCTTTCAGCTCCTAGCTGAGAAGCAGAAAACTTTGTAAAATTTCACATTAGATTGCACAAAAAAAATCAAAATTCAGCAACACAGATTTTAAAAAGGACAGTCTACAGTAAAATTGTATGAAATTTTAATTTATCACTAAAATGCAATACTTTTTGGCACAATAACATTGTGACTGGATTAACAGACTAGACATCAGAGGTCTGAACTAATTATCCTAAGATATCTTGAAATCCCATTACAGCAGCTGGAAAATTTAGCAAAGTTTAGAAAAGTTGTATGCATAAAGCATCTTTGTTTTTAATACAACCCAAGACACTTCATTGGGCACTGCATAAAACAAAGTATGATACACAGCTATATAAGGAACCTGGCCAAAGGGTAAATTATAAGGAATATCTGAAATGGTAGAGACATGCTGAGACTAATGGAGAAAGTTCCAGAGTTTAGGGCCTTGGCAACTGAATGCATGGCTATCAATGGAGTTTTTTTTCTTTATTCATTTATTCATTCATGGGATGAGGGCATCTCTGGCTAGGACACTAGGCCAGTATTTACTGTCCATCCCTAATTGCCCAGAGGGCAGTTAAGGGTCAACAGCATTGCTGTGGATATTGAATCCCATGTAGGCTAGACCAGGTCAGAGTGGTCGTTTCCTTTCCTAAAGGACATTAGTGAACCGGACTTTTTTTTCCTGACAATTGACAGTGGATTCACAGTCATCCTTAGATGCATAATTCCAGATATTTATTCAATTCAAATTCCACCATCTGTCATGGTGGGATTTGAACACAGCTTCCCCAGACCATTACCAGGGTCTTTGGATTAACAGTCTAGCAATAATACCGCTAGGCCATTGCCTCCCTGCAGGAGTGATTAAAAATGAGATGTACAAAAGGCCAGGAGAGTAATGCAGATAACTCAAAGGGTTATGGATCTGATGAAGAGAAGACAGAAAGAGCCAAGGCCATGCAGGGATAACAAGGATGAACATTGTAAAAGTTGATGCATGGTTTAACTAGGAGCCAATGTTGGTTGGCAATGACAGGGTGATCAATCAACAAGATGTCATACTAATTGGGAAATTTGATGACATTCAAAATTCTGCAGACACTTTCCAGAAAGAACATACAAGAGAGAATAGTCAAGCCTACTGGTAACAAAGAAACAAGAACAGTTTCAGCAGCAGATGTGAGTGGAGGAATGGGCAGATGCTGAAACAGTCAATGTCATGGTATACAGAAGTAGGTGTTTTAGAGATGTGCAATCAAAAAGTTCATCATGGGTTTAAACAAACCAAGGACAAAAAACAGTTAACAGCGAGAGCAATGGAGTGATTGGATTGGGAACGGAGTTTTTAGTCAGGACAGAAGACCTTAGTTTAAGTATTCCAAATATTTCACTGGAGGAAATTTCTGTTTATCCAGGACTGGATGTTGGAGAAGCAGCTCACTGTAGATAGTCACAAGAGATCATGGAAGATAGAGCTGGGTATCAGAGTGGAAGTGAAAAATTTATGTGCTTTCACACTATATCACCAAGGGGCAGCAGCCAGTAGAATTATAGGAGGGGAACAAAGAAGGATCATTAAGGAACACCAGCAGTAATGATTGGAGCAGGAGGAGAAGCCATTCGAGTGGTTCCTTAGCTACGATTAAGCATAAAACCAAATGAGAGCGGCACCACTCAACTGGATGTTACTGGAGGACATATCAAAAGCAGCAGATAGACTGATTCAAATTTAAAACAAAAGTATGGAGGAATTGAGCAGGTTTGGCAGCATCTGTAGAGATAGGAGTTGCACAAAAACATAGAAGATGGAGAAGAAGGGGGGCCGCTCAACCTCTCAAGCATGCTTCACCATTCAACACGATTACGGCTGATCATCAAGTTCAATAGCATAATCCCACCTTTCCCCCATTTTCCTTGATCCCTTTAGCCACAAGAGCTATATCTATCTCCTTCTAGAAAATACAATGTTTTGGCCTCAACCACTTTGTGGTAGTGAATTCCACAGGCTCACCACTTCCTGGGTGAAGAAATTTCTCCTCAACTCAGTCCCAAAAGGTTTACCACTCGTCCTTAAACTATGACCCTGTTTCTGGAGTCTCTTCCATCAGGGACATCCTTCCTGCATCAAATTTTATAGATTTCTATGAGATTCACCCTCATTCTTCTAAACTCCAGTGAATACAATCCTAACTGACTGAATCTCTCCTCATATCAGTCCTGCCATCCCAGAATTTAACTTGGTAAACTTTCATTGCACTCCCTCTGTAGCAACAGCATCTTTCCTCAGACAAGGCCAAAACTGCACACAATATTCTTTACTGATTAAGTATGTGGACTGCAGCAGTTTAAGAAGGCAGCTCATCACCACCTTCTCAAGGGCAATAGCGACAAACAATAAATGCCAGCTAGCCAACGATGCCCGCATCCCACGAGCAAATAAAAAATATTCACAGGTATCAGATAAACAAGACAAAAAGGAATGAAAATGGCTAGAGAAGAAGCATGGATTCTGTGTAGGTATTAGCAGTAGCAGTTAAAGGCAGAATGTAGATCAGATATGGCGAAAACAAAATCATTCAGACAAGACACTGGGTGAAATCACAATAGAAGTCAGAGTTTATCGTTTGAGTTTTGTTTTTAAAAACTCAGTTGCAGGAGACCTAGGAAACAAAATGCGGGCATGACTGCAAAGTGGTGTATTGAAATGGCAAGTGGTTGCAAGGCCTGCACATGTTTGTACATTGAGCAGAAGTGTTCTGCAAAGCCAACATCCACCCTACGAGACAATAAATTCTTGAATTTGCTGTTGTAGTACACTTATGCCACTAAGATGAATGTTGCTTATGTCTCACATCATGCAAACCTGGACAGCCTCATTATCTGTGGAACAGCGAATGGAACTTAACATTGAAATCATAGGTGAGCATCGCCGCTTCTGGCCTTAAGATCAAGGAAAGGTTACTGATTCAGCAACTCAAATGGTTGAACCTAGGACAATGTTGTAAGAACTTCTGTAACAATGTCTTTGGGCTGAAATCATTGTCTTCTAACATTGTTAGAATCGGTTTTCCCGATGCCCAGTGACTTCTGTGTGTAAGGGCTTCTTGGTAGGATGCTAATTTGATGTGGAGGACAGTTGCAGCTCATCTCTGGAATTCAGTTCTTTTGTCTGTGCTTGGTTGAGGCTGGAACTGAGTCGTCCTGGCAAACCCAAAGTAAGCATTGATTATTTGGGAGTAAGTATATTTTATCACTTTCCTGACTGCGTTAACCAAATTGTATCTGTCTTTTTTTTTGCACTTATAAACTTTGGGTAGATCATATTGTAATAAGTCGATTGTAATATCTTCTGAAGAAGAGTCATACCAGACTCAAAGTATTAACTGTTTTTCTCTCTACAGATGCTGCCAGACCTGAAGACTTTCTCCAATATTGTGTGCTGCAAAGTTCCAGCATTCACAATGTTTTGCTTTTATTACTGAAATATCCTGCTAGTCTCCAGCTACTAGTGAGGAGGATTTTACAAAGTCAAATAGACTGGTTAGAGTCATACAGTCAGGAAACAGACCCTCCAGTCCAACTCATCCATGCCAACAAGATATCCTAAGTTCATCTAGTCCCAATTGCCAGCATTTGCCCCCTTTTCCTCTAAACCCTTCACATTCATGTACCCATCCTTTTAAATATTGTAATTGTACCAGCCTCCACTAATTCCTCTGGCAGCTCATTCCACAAATGCACCACCCTCTGTGTGAAAAAATTGCCCCTTACATCCAGTTAAAACTTTTCTCTTCTCACCTTAAACCTATACCCTCTAGTTTTGGACTCACCTTTTCTGGGAAAAAGACCTTGGCTATTCACCTTATCCATACCCCTAATGATTTTATAAACCACTATAAGGTCACACCTCAACCTCTGAAGCTCGAGGAAAAATAGCCCCAGCTTATTCAGACCCTCCCTATAGCTCAAACCCTCCAACCCAGGCAACATCCTTGTAAATCTTTTCTGAACCTCTAGTTTAATGACAGCTTTCCTATAGCAAGGAGACAAGAATTGAACACAGTATTCAAAAAATGGCCTAACCAATGTCCTGTACAGCCACAACATGACCTCTCAATGCACTGACCAATAAAGGCAAGTGTACCAAAAGCCCTCTTCACTACCCTATGTCCCTGTGACTCCACCTTCAAGGAACTAAGAACGTACATCCCAATGTTTCTTTCTTCGGCTACACTCTCCAGGACCTTACCGTTAAGGTATACAAGTCCTGCCCTGATAATGCCTTACCAAAATGCAACAGCTCACGTTTATCTAAATTGAACTCCATCTGCCACTCCTTGGCACATGAGCCCATCTGATCAAGGTCATATTGTACTCTGACATCACCTTCTTCACTGTCCACTACACCACCAATTTTAGTGTCATCTGCAAACTTACTAACCATGTCTCCTATACTCACACATAAATCATTTATACATGAAGCAGTGGACCCAGCACCGATCCATGCAGCACACTGCTGGTCACAGGCCTCCAGTCCAAAAAACAACCCTCCACTACCAACATCTGCCACTTAGTTGCCTTCAAGCCAATTTTGTAACTAAATGGCTAGCTCTTACTGGATTCCATGTGATCTAACCTTGCTAACCAGTCTACCATGCGGAATCCTGTCAAACGCCTTGCTGAAGTCCATATAGACAATGTCCACCGCCCTGCCTTCATCAATCTTCCTTGTCACTTCTTCAAAAAATTTAAGTTAGTCAGATACGATTTCTCACGCACAAAACCATATTGACTATCCCTAATTAGTACGCGCATTTCCAAATACATGCAGATAATGTCCCTCAGAATTCCTTCTAATAACTTATCTACCACTGATGTCAGGCTCACCGGTCTATTCCCTGCCACCTTCTTAAATACTGGCAACATATTTGCCATCCTCCAAGCACCTCACCAGTGGCTATCGATGATACAAACACCTCAGCAAGGAGCCCAGCAATCACTTCCC